TAAATGCTATAACTGTTATCCGTTATGTACTGAATGAATGATGTAACACATTCATTGCAATGGCAGTTATTAATCAAAAAACAGAAGTAGTTCATTTAATATAGTCAATAATTTGGACATATTTCAATTTCTAGAGATTTTCTAACGCGATGCGTTGCATGACTCTTTTGCTTTGTGTCCGCTAGACTACTGATTCCAAGGCTGAGGTTAATTCGCATACTGTGGGATGAAAACTAGCTTTTTCTCGTGGTATTACCGCCAAACAAGTGCATCAGTCAATTATGTCATATTATGATCACCAAAGCAACAGATAGATGCTTAGTTTCACTAAAATTATTTTTTTATAATTTACTGTGAGCCAAATATACTGTTGGAATGGACATAAGGCAGACGTTTTAACGAATTGAAAATTATCTGTGTATTTTTACATTAGATTGGGTCATTTGGCCTTAAACTAAAAAGAAAATTTTAATTATGTCCATATTTCAAATTGACCTAATTTTGTTATGCCAATGAAACGCCAAACGGGACTAAGTTTTGACCAGATTTTCAAACCTTCTGCCGAAGACTCACAAATCAATGCGCTTATGCACACGAAAGTCAGCGATTCACGCTGCAGTAATCACAGTTAAAGCAAACACGCTCGATCCTGACTGCTTATTACCAATTATGTGAAGAGCACTCCGCTAGTCATTTCTGTGATTCCCTGCACCTAGACTTCCCTCCCACGCGTGCTAACAGCAACTGGAGTTCAGTGAGTGCTTCGTATGCACAGGTCAGAACAAGTATTTCCAATCGAAAGGTTTAATGTCCCTATTATTGGTATCTGCTCTTCAAGCAACTTTCAATTTTGGATTATGATTACGATAACAGCAACAACGCAGTGATGGCTGTTTTCAGAGCTGCAGTCATTGGGGCAACTTTCGAATAACTGATTTTTGCTGCAATTGGAGTTAATGGCACACCTTTCATGCATGATTTGCATACGGGATTGGTATTTATGATTTATCCTCACAATGCAACTCAATGATTTTTCATTCTAGGCAGTGCCTGCTAACC